AACTGCTGACTGCTGTTTCCCCACTGCACCACTGTTTACCTCAATGCACACTTTACAGCACATCTCACACTTCATACACACGACGGACTGACTGCTTATTCGCTGATTACATACACTAACTGATCCGCAGCTGCTTACTTCTGACTACTACTTACACACACCGACTTACACTAACTTTCACTGACTGGTTACTGAATGACTTGACTGCTACTGACTGACGTCTTACACCGACTACTTACTAACTCGCGGCTTCCGGCAGCGGCGCATTTATACCTGGCCGGCGCTCGTCTCGATACACCCGGCACTCTCTCAACCTTTCCCTGCGAATAGTCCGGAACAGTCCAGTTCGGGGGGAAGGGAAGGGAAGGGGCGCCGGCCGATGACGCAGTATTATATATATATATAAAATACAAATTTCTATATTAATATGTAAATTATCTTATTAACTTTATTATTTTTCTTGATTGATACATTTTTTAGAAGTGTTAAAATCTAACTTTAACCAGACTAATTTTAAATTTGTTGTTGCCTTTCAATTATAATTGTATATTTCAGATATAAACGAATGCCTTGATCCTGTTTGTACATATCATTGTGAAGATTTGAAAATCGGTTATCGATGTATTTGTCCGCCTGGTTTTGAGCAACATCCTCACGATACACATCATTGTAAAGACATTGATGAATGTAAAAGTCGCCCATGTAGTCAGATTTGTCATAACACCAATGGATCATATGTGTGTTCTTGTACAAAGGGATATGCACTTGGACGCAACAAACATTCTTGCAAAGCAGATGCAGGTGTGTTGCTACAATAGAAATTAAGTTTTCTATTAAAATTTATTCATGTGTTATTTTAAATGTGTTTCATTCTTCAGATCCACTTTCACTGAATTTATTTCACACTTTCTTCCTTCTTATTTTATTTCCATAAATAGTACCTAATTATGGAAATTTTCATTTATTTTGCAGATAAAGAACCAAAGTTGATTTTCTCTAATCGTTATTACATCCGTGAGCTGGACTTAACAGGTCATTCCACCCTGCTTCTTCATAATTTGACCAATGCTGTAGCATTAGACTATGATCTTCAAGAGTCTTGCATTTATTGGAGTGATGTGACATCAGTGAGCAGTAGTATTAAACGAACTTGTGGACCTAGCAATAATACACAACAAGTATGAAAACAAATATTTTTAAAAAGTTACTTGCTTTATTTCAGTGTTAAAGAATTTGTACAACCAAATATTTTTAAGGAAAAAAGAAAGAAGACATTTTATCAATTTTTCAACTATTAGTATTCTCAAAAACAGTAAAATTTAGTCTTTAAGAAGTGTGCTGGATCAATTTATAAAATAAAATACAGAAAATAATTATTTTTTAAATTGGGAAATAAACCGGATGTGGAAAATGACCTTGTGCAAGTTCCCATGCATGTCATTTGTTAACTTTTTGTAAGAGTACCTAATGTAAATGAACTAATTTACATAATAAATTATTACTACATGTGGTGTTTGTTGGCCTTTGGCTTGAATTTAAAATTGTTCAAATGGCAACTTCATTTTTAGGTTATTCATTCTTCTACTTTGAGAAACGTCGATGGACTTGCAGTGGATTGGATAGGTCGGAACCTGTACTGGTGCGATAAAGGTCGCAACACTATAGAAGTTTCAAAGTTAGATGGCCGTTATCTGAAAGTATTAATAAATAAAGACTTGCAAGAGCCCCGAGCAATTGCTCTTGATCCTCGCTTTGGGTAATGTTCATGAATTTCTGCTGAATAGGTTTCATGTTTTTGATTTTGTTTTAGTTAATTGATTGATTTATTAAATTTATGCAGGTATATGTATTGGACTGACTGGGGAGATCATCCTCATATTGGGAAGGCTGGAATGGATGGTTCAGATCCTCATGTAATTGTAAATGAGTCATTGGGATGGCCAAATGCCATAACCATATCTTTTGAGACTGATGAACTGTTTTGGGCAGATGCTCGGGAAGATTATATTGCTGTCTCAGATTTGTCTGGAGGAAATATTAAGATTATATTAAGTCGCAGTATGTAATTTATGTAACATTATGAAAATTATTAGATAAACAAATTGAAAACCATTTACATATTTTAACTGATTTGCACATTAGTGCCTCATTGTATGAATTCTTTTTGTTCAATTTAAAATAATTTTCAGCCAGTAATTCAAAAGTTATGCCTCATCATATATTTGCTTTGGCGGTTTTCGAAGATTATGTGTATTGGACAGACTGGGAAACAAAATCTGTTGCTAGATGTCATAAATACAATGGGAGTGATGTCAAACAGCTCACCACAACTGTTCACCGACCTATGGATATTCATGTCTTCCATCCCTATCGGCAACAGAACTGTAAGTTTCCGATTTGTGTAGAATATTTATTTGTAAGAAAATTTAAATTTAAACTTAGGAAGTCTATTTACATTGTTGGCTTGATAGTTGCCTGGGTAAACAGTGCATAGCCACATAAAAGAATACTTCTTTACCTCAAAAACATCTATTAACAAGTCCTTCAAAACATTGCTTCAACTTCCACGTTCTGTGTCCATATAACAAAATGATATTACTGTAATGAACACTCACTAATTATTTGATTTGATTTATATCTTTTAAATCACTTTTAAAAAGAGAGTGGAACTGTTAGGGAATTATCATGTCTCGTGCAGTTTCAATATTGAAGAAATGCTGCTGCTAATTGTTATTGAGATTCTATCATTGAATAACACTGAACTTTTGCACAATTATCACTAATTACTCTCATATTATAATGTTTTAAATATATTCATTTCAAAAAGTATTATTGTTCTTAATTAATATAAAGTTCATTGTAAGCTTTTATTTATTGACATAATATTTTCTTGCTCTAAATCTATCATGAGCTATTATAAGCTAATTGCATTATTACAGTTTTGTTACTAAATCTATTATAAGTTATTATAAGGTAATTGTATTATTACTGTTTTGTTAACATAATAATTATTAAGTTAACTTAGTATAAATATTTCTGTTAGATGTTCTACTATTATTTACCAATGCTATTTTTGCAATTAAGGTGTTGCCAATATATTATTCTTTAATTATTTGTTAAAAATTAAACCATTTTGTGTAAATCTGTAAGTTGTAAAATATTAATTTTTGAATTATTATTCTTGTAGTGACTGTCAATCCATGTGTTGATAATGGTGGCTGTGATACTTTGTGTTTACTGAAGCCTAATGGAGGACATCAATGTGCATGCCCAGAAAACTATTATTTAGCAGCTGATGGAAAAACATGTATTAATAATTGCACATCTGCTCATTTTGTTTGTGCAACAACTTATAAATGCATTCCATTTTGGTGGAAATGTGACACTCAGGTACATACTATTATTGCTTTAATTGTAAAGAGGTATTTATGTAGTAACGTAAGGAGGTATTTATTTTTTCTTTGTACTAAATAGTTTTCAAATTAGAAATGAATGACTTGATTCATGTTGTTTCATGCCTATTATTTTTTATATTTTATGCGTATGATTTTCTCCTTAGGATGATTGTGGGGATGGATCAGATGAGCCCAAAGATTGTCCAGCATTTGAATGTCTACCTGGACAATTCCAGTGTAATAATTCACATTGTATTCATCCATCTCAATTATGTAACAGAGACAATGATTGTGGGGATAATTCTGATGAAATTGACTGCAACTCTGTAAGTTATACATTTAATGTATATATAATATATATTTGATCACAAATACTCAAAATTTGTAACTTTAAAAGTTGTGGTGATTCCTGGATATTTGCACCATGGCATGTACCCACCCAAATTAATTTGATGCTGTTCCTCA